ACATGATCACGTGGATTGGGTCTTTCTGGAAAGATGCCTTCAGAAAATGAATTTTGGGCCAGTGTTCAGGCAATGGGTACGCATCCTCCACCAAAATGCCACCACAAGCGTCAAGATCAATAGCTCAGTGACCCCCCCCGTAAAATTAGAACGCTCGGTGCACCAGGGAGACCCAATAGCCCCCTTCCTTTTCCTAATCATTATGGAAGCCTTGTCGGCAAACCTTCGCACCAACAAGGACATCTCGAGAATTAAAATATCCCATATTCCAGAAGAAGCGATCGCGGTATGCTGCATGTTCGCTGATGACCTCACGATTATGGTGGACGCCACGACCGAGAACATCGAGGAGATCCAGCGCTTGATGGAACGGTTCTCTCAGGTCTTCGACATGGCAGTAAATTGGGGAAACAAAACGCAGGGGTGGTGGATCCACTCTTAAGGTGGGCGCCCCCCAGAAACCCTGCGCATTTCATGACTCCCTTTGGAGGCCCCACTCATAATCTTAGGAGTCTTGATGACGGCAGCAGGTTGTCTGCCAACAAATGACGAATGAATCACCTCTCCGGCCTTAACCAAATTGGAAAACTGGGGAAAGAAGTCCATCTCCCTTCTAGGCAGGGCACTATGGTACAAGTCCCTCGTCCGAACGTTAAGCAAACAAGCGGTACGAGCATTAAAAGCTAAGGTGGCAACCGTTTTATGGCAAGGAGACGACGACCTGCAAAACGTCATCAGCAAGGTGGCCTGGGACTCGATCATCCAACCAAAGAGTGCAGGAGGTCTGGAATAATAGACCCGACAGCGCAAACCCAAGCCCTGCGACTTCAATGGATCAAAAAATTGATCTTCGCCACGGACTGTCCCTAGCGACCTCTAGCCCTAGAACATCTGACACGCCTAGCTCCCCCCGCCCCTCCCGGAGTGCATCCTCTGACATGGTTGGAGGATCGCTATTGGACGATCCCAAGAAAACGACTGAACAGGGGAGGGAGCCCGAACGGGCCGAACGGGGTCATGGACCAATTTTGGCCCTCGTTGTTGAGAAGTTGGCGACTCCCCCCCCCCTGGAAAGGCAGCACCCAGACCAGTGGGAGGAGGTTTTCCGTCAACCCCTCTTTGGGAACCGTTGACTCCCAAATAGGCAGGGCCAAGTGATGAACAGCTCAGCATCGTCGTGGAAAGGATGAGTGAAACAAGAGATGATCAGAATAGGAGATATATGGAACAATGAGCGAAAAAACTGGAACACAGTAGAGGAACTACGTCCCACGCTAAAACATTGTCACCAAGTCACACAAAATCTGGATAAACTCATAGAGAGAATACCACTCTCGTGGTATAGGAAGCTGAGAAAAGGCCCTTCGCTGAAGGAAGGGGACTGGGTCGGGCTCAGAGGAGACTCTGGGCACCTAGGGAGAATACATTTGACAAGGACCCAAGACGCCCTAGTAGAAAGATACGTACTCAGTCGATCAAGATCCTTGCAGGGCAATCGGGACCCAGTTATCTTGATGGACAAGACAAAAGTCTTCCGGGTACGAGTCCAGGGCGATTGAGGGAAAGCCCGGGCCTTTCAGTCGTCCACTTGAATAGAAGATTTGCCTTTAGACCCAGAGGAGTGGGAGTGGAAACGCGCTGGGCGAAGGGCAGACCCCAAGAAGAAGATAAGTCTCCACAAATTGACTGTCAAATCCACGTACAAAATACTCAGACCCAGGAGACCGTTGAGAGATGTGATAAATGACAGATGGGCAAAACACCTTAATGTGGACCGCTCTCTTCTCACACCAATCCCATGGTTTCAAGAACAAAAAGCAAAGCCAGCAAAAATCACCTCATTACAGTGGCAGATTGCCCATCGCTGCCTCCCTACTATGAACTGGTTGATTGACCATACAAATCTAGAGCAGAAAGGACAGACCCTACCCTGGTGCCCGCGATGCTTGCAAGTCTTTTCGACAAGCAAGAGGACAGAAACCATTGAGCATGTGTTCATGCAATGCCCCACGGCGAAACTGACGTGACGTTGGTGGGATAGGATGTGGAGAAAGATGGTCCCTGACCCACCATGGCCGTGGTCATGGAGGGCCGTTCTCACAGGTTTCTGGCCACAGGCCCAAGAGGCATCTGACTTTGTGGAGAACATGTTCAAATTGGGATGGAGAGCAATCCTATGGGGACTTTGGTGGCAACGGTGCCTCCTGGCTATAGAAAGGGTGAGGGTAGAAGGGCCAGAAGTAACCGAACAGATCCAACAACAAATAAATATGGAGATAATGAGAAGATGGCAGGTGTTGAAACCCCAACTGGATCTCTTTCAGACAAATACAGATATCAAGTGAGCACTCTCCTCCTTCTGCAAAGCCTGGTTAGGAGGGGATAGGGGAGGATGGATAGCGAAAGGTGAATTGTGGGGGATAAGGATGAAGGGCAACCACGGGAGATAGTGGAATGCAGGGACTACCGCCTGATTTTCAACGACTGGATGACTATAGAACCCACTTTCCCAATGCGCCCCCCATCCGACTTCCCGGATCCCTTCCCTCCACACCCGCTCGCCCTGGTTGAGGCAAGGACGGACTGAATTTTTTTGTTCTTTTTTTTTTTCCCTTTCTCTCCTTTCATTTTTTTTCTTTCTTTTCCTTTTTCTTTCTTCTGTTTCCTTTTTTTTTTTTTGGATGTCCGCCCTCCCTCCTTCAAGGGAGTCAAGGTCACACCTTTCTGAGTCAAAATCGTACCTCTGCAACGGTCACATTTCTCATCTTCCCGTGCCCTGAGCTTTCCCAGCCTCCGGCGCCCCTCCGGAGACCAGACACCACTCTAGAGGCACGTACGACAATACAACGATGGTGGAACAGGACAGAACCCTCGGAAGATCAGCTGCACAGTTAACCCTCCGGCTTACTGGAGCAGTCAATGCTGGCAGCCAAGACCTTACTCTTTTGTTTACTCATTCCTGGCTTTCTTCTCAATGTGCAAAAGGGACGCTGGACCCGTTTTCCAGCAGGTGAGGCTCCCCACCAATAGATTGGAGCAATTTTTTCAAAAAAAGAAAAAGAAAAAAAAAGAATGACACATATAAAGCAAGGATGATCACACAAGGTGTGATACTGTTGTGAAACATGTATTCTCTGTGAGAGTAAAGCCTAATCCATCTTTGATGTTTGATGTGTAGATATAAATCAAGAAATGGTCCACTATAAAAACTTATTAAAAGGAAGAAGTCGCTAAGAAGCTCATCGACATAGTAGCAGATTCTGAACTCGTGACAAGAAATGACCGTTTCCTGGTTGCAATCCTGTTTTTTTCTTTCTTTTCTTTTTTCCCTTGGTTGCCATGTCCATGGCTGTTGTGTGTGGTGTGTGTTGAGTTGGACACTACAGCCTTGCAGGGGTGGGGTATATATCAAGACCGGTACGATTCCACTTTCGAACACCATGTCCTGGTTGTAGTGGTTAAGAGACTTGGCTCTTGAGGCCAAGGTCACCAGTTTGAAACCGTGCTTGCACGGAAGAGGGCTTAGGCCCATATGTATGGAATCCATACTACTGCTATCCTACCACTAGGAAGGCATTCCAACTCTTGGTTAATGGGAAAAAGAAGAGAATAAACAAAACAAGTTTGTTGCACTCTGAAAACTGAGCTGGTAAGATCACCCTTCCCCACTTGTTGCAAAGGAGTTATTAGTCATGCTCCCACCGCTGCTCCTCTTTTGTGAGCATGTCCTCTGACTGGCCTATTTGCACTGACCCAGCGGTGGCAGCGGAGAATCCAGATATGGTGGATTGAGCCTGTTTGGAAGCCACTCAACCTCTGAGAAAGACCACCTGGTCCTAAGCCTGCTTTGAAGTCTTGGGGAAACTTACTTCGGGGGAGGGGGAAAAAAAGTCTAAAATGAACAACGAAGAACTTGTCCTTCCTTATTAGCAGTTAAAGATGAACCCCATGGCCGTCCTTATAAGCAGTTGGACGCCATGGGGTTAATCTTCAGGTGAATGTCACATCATGCAACACTATGTTGCCGCACGTTCATTGAACGTGCATTACGCGTTTGGATATTGAACACGGTGAACGTGATTGATGCGTTCGCGCAGGGTGACCTGGGGGTCAGGGATGACAAGGCGGGCGCGGTGGGGTGTGCCCGGGGACTTGGAGGGCCTGTGGTGGCAGAGGGAGGGCTTCGGCAAGGGTGGGGGCTGACGGGGGGGGGTCGGCAGCAGCGGTCTCTCGGTTTTGGGGGGCCTGGGGCGGGGGATGGGGGGTGCGGATGTCGTTTTTTTCACGGACTTGTTTTTGGATGAGCGATTCCCCCCACCCAGTAGTCTCCGAAGCCTGCACGCCGATGGCGGGGGCGCGTTCAATTTTTTCCCTTTGAACAGAATTGAACGCGCCTCGTGCGGGTTTGAACACGTTCGTTCGAAAGCAAGTGTGCATTTGGCGCGCTCAGTCAGTCACCCAGATGCAACAACCAACTATGGTGCTGTGCTGCGGAGAATTGGGGTCACTACGCGCGGCTCAAAATCCTTATCAGGAGCAAAGAGTAACTCTTGATTTTGAATGGCAGTTGAGGGTCCAAATCATAGTAAAGATTCTGAAGACTAACCCTTTGTGATCGTTATTGACACTGCCTGAAAGGAAGCAGTGATTCTTGGAGGGCAGCTGCCCTTCTCTCTGGTTTTCTCTCCGCCTCTTCTCCCCTTCCCTCCTCTCACTTTTTCCTTCTCTCACTTGTCAGTGTGTCACCCCTCTTCCTCCCCCTCCCTCTTCTACCTCTCTCTCCCTCTCTCTCCGTTCTCATCTCCCTCCTCTTCTCCCTCCTCTTCTCCCTCCTCTTCTCCCACCTCTTCTCCGTCCTCTTCTTCATCCTCTTCTCCGCCCTCTTCTTCCTCCTTTGCCTCCATTCATGCCAGCATGTACCCGTGTCCAAGTTGGCATGCCCTCAGCTGACTACGATCATATGACCTTCATGTCAATATGTTTTGTAGGAAGTTTCGCAGAGCGTGGATACCATTGTTGTTGACGTTAAGATCAAGAGTGGCTCAATGTCAGCAGATGTGATCTCTCTTGCTGAGCAAACGTTATCCCAGGTTAGTGCCAACAGATTGCAAATGCAGGAAACTGTGGAAGTTCGCTTTGCTTATTGTTGCAGTACCTTACATAGACCACACGTTCAGCCAATCAAGTTTTTATTTTTTAGTTTTTCCGGTTGCTCTCCACCGGCAAGCCTGAAGAGATGTTACACACGAGAAAGGGGAGCCGCTCTGCCTCGGTTCGAGGCACCGCAGGCAGTGAGCTGTTCTTAAACTGCAGAGGGTGGCAGCCGGACTTTCATTGATTTCGCCCCGTCTAGCCGGGAGATGCTCTGCGTGCCCATCTCGGATGGCATACTATTCTTTCGCCTTTTACTCGAGCTATTTTGTTTTTAACTGTTCCCTGCTGCATATCTATCCTGAGCGGAACCCCCAGGCCCTAGCTGTGACAGGATATGTTAGCAAGTAAGGGTGACATTTTGCCATAACAACTTTTTCCTTTTTCGCCTTTTCAAACAAGGCTAAGAAGCATCGTTTCGCAAGCCCTATATCCCAGTGATCGTGAGAGAATCCTCAGAATGTAGGCTTTGTGGGGTTGATGTCTCCATTCTGTTGGCATGGACCACCACCACTGCTGCAAACCGGTTCCAGCATCCTGTTTGTACATGGCCGTTCCTGGTCAGGCCCAGACCTGGTAGGTACCTGAATACTACCAGGTCTGTGCCTGACCTTCTAGTCTTTCGTGCCAACTGCACCCCACTACTCTTTGTAAAGTTCATCTTTTGGTTCAATTTTGCCTTAAGTTTATAATAATATATCTTTCTCCCCTCAATACAGCGGCCTAACTCAGTTGGTGAGGCACGCAAGTGGCATTCAGGAGGTCTTGGGTTCAATCCCCATTGGCCTCATGTACCTTCCTGGGCATGCTTGGCGCCCACCGCCTAGAGATAGACCACTGGATCCCCCGATTGGCATTGAGCAGAGTCTGCTGATGAGGGGACCTGAGGGGAGGCACAGGGATTGGTCCTGTTGGCATGGTCCCTGATGCTACTGGCTGTCCCCTAGCCGGTATCGCCCACCTGCAGGTC